ATTTATCATAAAAAATGACCGAAAACACTGAAAATACGAGTTGGGTTCCTTTACCAAAATTTGGTTATGGATTTGCAATCTATCCCTTTACTCCTGGTTCACGAAATAATTCTTCGGATTCAACAAAAGATGAACCAGTATCTGATGGTGTTACTGTTTCTGATGCTACATCAATTTCTTCCGCTAATTCAATTTTAAATTCAAATTCTTCGATTACTTCATATCAAGTTGCACTTGAAATAGGTGATGAAGTCTATGTTTTTGAGCAGCAAGGAGCATGGTATCGTGGCTATGTTGTTTCTCAATTACGTCAAACTGAGGAACCGCAAGTTTATGTTGGAATTTTTCCTGTTAATCATGTTTATATTAAAGAGCATCTTGATTATATTGAAGTACAGGCGGCTGAACTAAAGAGTAATGATACCGCTTCATTGGACAGTGAAAAAAACACTCGTCCTCCTCCACCTTTACCATCTCTTGAATGTGGTGATGATACGGTCAGTGGGAAAACTGAACCATTAGTTGATGAAATAGCTAGTACCGTGAGAGAATGGAGTAGTTTGTTACCTAAATATTTGAGTGAACGAAAATATTCAATGTTCAGAAATGTTAAAGATCAAATAAATGATTTATTACAAGGACGTAGGCAATTACTTGCTCAAACTCTATCTCAAGATGAATTAAGTAAATTGAGAAAAGAACTAATTAATAAACTTGTTGCTGGTAACTTGATTCAAGAGTTAGATATTATTGTAAGAGATCCGGAAAGAGGTTTCCTTGCTGATGAGACAAATATATCTGCTATTCGTCTTTATCAATTACAAGCTCAATTATCACTTTTAAATATGGATAAGGCTAAATCTGATTCATTACTAATGAGTCCTACCTTAGCGAGTCCTTTACAATCTTTACATAATCCCACACCAACTGACTCAACTAGTCATATACCAAAGTTTTATCACGTTTTTTTGGATTTAAAAGCTTGGGTTGCATCAATATGCTCTCCTGGTGAATTCACCGAACTTTATTTTTCTTTATATACAAAAGTTGATTCACGATTTATAACAGAAGAATATCTTATTGTGCTTAATCATAACGGTGTACCGAAAGACGAATCCAAGATTGGAAAAATTAGGACCCTTTTTACTGACCTTTCTCCTCATGATATTCAAGATCAAGTTTATTTACTTTGTAGAATCGTAAGAACTGGAAGTATGAAAATGATTGATAAAGATGTGTCCAAAGAATCCGGTGCAGTGACATCATTATTTTCAAAGACTTCAAAAGATTCGGATAATACGGATCAAATTTCACTACATTCTAATGCGAAATTCTCACCGCAGACATTTCGTCGACCATTTGGCTGTGCAGTTCTCGATATTAGTCATCTTCTTCAAGGAAAAGAAAAAGAAACTTTTAGTGAACATGTAATGCAAATATATGTTCCTATCCAAGAATCGACATTTGCTAATCTTCACGAAGATATAATTCATAATCGCTTCAAAGAATTTGAAAAATCC